TAATATAAAAACACTTGATAAATTTAAATTATTTATTGATTTAAAAATGATAAAATTTCTGTTAATTTTTCCACCGCTTCCTGGCACACTGACACAGATCAAAGTGTATTATCTATTCTCATCAGCTTAGTATCTGATACGCTCTTCGTGTAAGAGTAAGAGAAATTCACAAATATACATGCTAGGCTTACACATACACACATTGGAGTGCACGTAGGTTTACCTCCTCATGTCGCACTCGAATCTGGGTAACGCTAAAGATCGGCATTATTTTTTTCTGTTAGTGGAAAGTGTTTATTTTTTAATAGTTGTTATGTTTATCATGTTTTACTTAAGAAAAAAAAACATACGAAACAATTTTAAATAAGAAATACACATTTAAAATGTAGTAAAATCAAAAAGTACACCAGTAGAAATTTATTAAATATTTTTATCATATTTTTTACTATCAAATTAGTAAGTAATAACCCTAATATCGCATTTTTACAAAATACGATTTTTTCGACTTTCGAGTTCGATATCTCGAAAAGGAGGTAAGAAGTAAGAAGGAACTTTTTTTATTATTTTTCCTGTATTCCTGGCATCAAAATATACAAGAAACCACACTCAGATCACGGCGCCACAGAAATCGGAATCTCCCCTACAAAACAATGCATTTATATCATTTTTTTCAATTTTTAAATAATTTTCGTTTTTGCATAGGATCAATCTACACAAAGGTCAGCGTTTACCAAGAAGGCAAAAAAGAAGATCAACAGTAAGGCGAAAAATACTACAACAAGAAGGATTACTAGAAAAGAAAAGACCGAGAATCACGAATTACAAGTAGGAAAAAGATTAAAGCCCAAAAAAAACGATGATTATCAGTATTATCAGATTTGATTACATTGTTCATATGCGTTGTAAGCTTGCAGTAAAAGCATGTAAAAATATAGTTACATGTTCATCTAACAGTTTCTGTTTTTTTCATATGCTTGCCATCCCAAGTTTTTAACTAGGTGGTATAAAAATAATGTGAGATCAAGGACCTTTTTTTTCAAGCTTACTGTTCGTTTTGCACGATAGAAACCGTTTTACCATTTTACTATTTTTGCCATTTTTTTTAAGCCTTTGCAGGAAATATTTTTTGTTCAATTTTATTACAATCGATTGGCATTGGAATTTTCTACAATGTATTTTTTTCGAGCTAGTATGAATTTTCATTGCCGAAAACTTAATTATATCCCACTAAAAAGTATAACAACTAAAACAATATGAGCGAATTCAAAACAAATATATTCTGCATTTAATATTATGTCCAATAACAAATTAATTTATTTTTATAATTGAATTAGACTTCTTCTGGGCCTGACGATGGTTCGTCTAGTGTGAAAATGGTAACAACGTCCGAGGTGATAGCTAATGACAATCACACGCTTCAAACGCTTCAAGACATAACGATGGATGCAATTTCTAAGGTAGCTATAATGTTAAATGACGAGTCCTGTTTGTATATTTACCAATAATTAGAATATTAACCAGTATGGAGTAATATTTAAAAAAAAAACAGATTGATTGTTTACTGCATACTAAAATTGTACAAAAGAATAACAACTACAACGATATGAGCAAATTTAAAACAAATATAGTCTGAATTGAATGTTATCTCTTATAATAAAAAATTAAATTTATTTCAAATTTATTTAGACATTTTCTGGGGCTAATGACGGTTAATCATGTATGGAAGTGGCATCAACGTCAGAGGTGATAATTAATAACACTCACGTGCTCGAAACTCAACAACACGTAAGCATTGATGTAGTCTTTGAGGTATTTTTCATGTTAAGGTGGCTGATCACAACTGTAATACTTATTTGCGTGACATCATATTATCACACCTCAAAACATGGGGTGATGAAGTTGCCACAGATTCCAATTATTGACTGATGGTGAACCTAAATGTTTTTGGTATTATTGATAATCTGATGATTTTTTTTTTTTAGTACCTAGTTATATAAAAAGAGAGTTGAAGTATAATTTCGAAAATATTATATCAAATGTTATCAAGACTGAATGGTCTTTCATAAAGATAATTTATACTATTTTAATTTATTCATATTTAACCATGTTAAACATAAGTTCTTAAATTATTCATTTTGAAGAAATTGCCTAGCAACATGGTTTGAAATTTTGTGACATGATTCAGTTAATATTCAAGCATGATTCCTGCTTCATTCATACTTTAAGTATTTTGATTTTATGATAAGCCACCTTAAATGTCGCATGCTGTTAAAACATTTAATATAAATAAATAAAAGAAATTCATTGATGATATAATTAGAGTACTGAAACGATATTAGAGTAACATTTTTTCAAAAGAAAATGATAACATCGTCCAAGTAAATGCAGTTTTAACAGAGCAAGATACAAAATTGGTGACATTGATGCAGCAAGCAGCTGAAGTACTGAACAGTAATCTTGATCTCAGAGCAGCTTTTGTTGCAACTTTGGAGGTACATGATATTTTTTGTTTCATTTCAGATAAATTACTTTATTATTGCTTATAGGTAAATATAAGAACATCAAAATTTCTTTGTATGTAGACTCAATTTGCTGCTTAATTATCTTAAAAATGAACGTGAATATGACTAAATCTTTTGAGGTGGCTTGGATGGTTTCTATTGGAATGATAAAAACCTCTGAAATTCAGATATTATGTAAATAAAATATGCCGAATTCATTTGCGAGAAAAAAAAATCTGGTTAAACACTTCATTTTCGAGGAAATCGCAACTGGAAACTTGCTATTTGAACATATGTAGTTTTACGGGAGTCGTCACAAAATTCACTATAGCTTCAGGAGTAAATGATAAACCTCAAAAATTGGAAATTATAATTATGTTTTTTTTTTAAACAGAATTTATTGAGTCTTAAAAGCATAGGGTTAACTGCATTAATNAATATATTTGATTTTAATATAAAAACACTTGATAAATTTAAATTATTTATTGATTTAAAAATGATAAAATTTCTGTTAATTTTTCCACCGCTTCCTGGCACACTGACACAGATCAAAGTGTATTATCTATTCTCATCAGCTTAGTATCTGATACGCTCTTCGTGTAAGAGTAAGAGAAATTCACAAATATACATGCTAGGCTTACACATACACACATTGGAGTGCACGTAGGTTTACCTCCTCATGTCGCACTCGAATCTGGGTAACGCTAAAGATCGGCATTATTTTTTTCTGTTAGTGGAAAGTGTTTATTTTTTAATAGTTGTTATGTTTATCATGTTTTACTTAAGAAAAAAAAACATACGAAACAATTTTAAATAAGAAATACACATTTAAAATGTAGTAAAATCAAAAAGTACACCAGTAGAAATTTATTAAATATTTTTATCATATTTTTTACTATCAAATTAGTAAGTAATAACCCTAATATCGCATTTTTACAAAATACGATTTTTTCGACTTTCGAGTTCGATATCTCGAAAAGGAGGTAAGAAGTAAGAAGGAACTTTTTTTATTATTTTTCCTGTATTCCTGGCATCAAAATATACAAGAAACCACACTCAGATCACGGCGCCACAGAAATCGGAATCTCCCCTACAAAACAATGCATTTATATCATTTTTTTCAATTTTTAAATAATTTTCGTTTTTGCATAGGATCAATCTACACAAAGGTCAGCGTTTACCAAGAAGGCAAAAAAGAAGATCAACAGTAAGGCGAAAAATACTACAACAAGAAGGATTACTAGAAAAGAAAAGACCGAGAATCACGAATTACAAGTAGGAAAAAGATTAAAGCCCAAAAAAAACGATGATTATCAGTATTATCAGATTTGATTACATTGTTCATATGCGTTGTAAGCTTGCAGTAAAAGCATGTAAAAATATAGTTACATGTTCATCTAACAGTTTCTGTTTTTTTCATATGCTTGCCATCCCAAGTTTTTAACTAGGTGGTATAAAAATAATGTGAGATCAAGGACCATGTAAGCTAAGGTTTCTCGACAGAAAAATTACGGTAGTGATTGTGTAGTAAATCCTGCAATTTCCACTCTTTTATCAGAAAATATTAAAATATTTACTGTGTTTCTGTTAAGTTGTGACTTGAATAGTAAGCTTATGTTTTTTAGAGTAAAGTGTAAAATAAATGAATAACACTTTAATTGATAACTATAGTTATAATAAACTACCGCAAGAATGTAATAACTTTTTTATACAAAGATGATGTAATTTACTATCTTTAGATTAAAATTTATTTTGAGTACAAGAAAAATAATGAGCAAGATCAACAGTGATTGTTTATCTGCCAATAAAATATTTGATTGACTCTTTAAGTCAGTGCTTAAATAATACATGAGAAACTTAACGCTTCTGTCTACAAATACTAATTTATAAAAGATACATGTACCAATTACTTCTCAATACCATCTCACACTTTTACGACTAAAAAAAAATTCAAGATTTAATAAAAGTGTATTTAAATGTGCATTAAGAGGACGATAAATATCAAACTGTATTACCAACAGTAAGTATACAGTAGTTACACGTATTCTCTTGTAAACTGCCATCTAGCAGTGGAAAGTGCTGGGAAAAATGTTTCTGGGAAAAATTTCCATGACTCTTCATACTTACGTCTGCTTAAGTAAACAAGTACTGGGAGACATAGATCCTATACCATAATCTTAAGCATTAATACCGCCATTTAGGGCTCCTTGGTGAAAAAATGACCTTCTGATTATACATTTATAAATAATTAACATCGAAAAGAGAACCCTAAAAAATTGCGTAAATAATATCAATCTTAAAAAGAACTTGTCAAGCATTGTTAACGACTTTCCTCATTGACTGAAAATAAGTAAGGCAAACGATACTCCAAATAGATTCATGATTAGATGTACTTTATAGTGATTTAGTTGATGCAGTCATATTTGTATTATTGATTAATTTCGTACCAATACAAAGTAGGACAGATAAAACTAATGATGCTAATAATTATAGAAATACCTTTATCAGGGAGAACATGTGTTTCTGAAAACATCCATTTAAGAACATCTAATGATGCATTAAATATTTTACTTTTCAAGTCTTCATTTTTTAATAAATGTAAATTTTTTTGCTTCATTTCACTTGCTAGATTAGGCCCATTAATCTTCCTTTCATTAACCTAAGACAAAAATTGTAAAAAAAATAGATTTAGAAAATACTATTAAGACTTTTGTTCGTGACCATAGGCATTACAGATGAGAAAAATTACCAATTGATAACTAGTATCAGAAATATTCGCTTCATTTACAGAAGTTTGGCAACTAGTCATTGAACTAGTATAAAAACTTCTAGTTCCCATAATAATTACACTACGATACATAAGGTTTGATTCCAACGTCTTTTTTATCAAACTAACTGTGATACTGCAACCACAGATTCCAATGTTTGACGGCATTATTGTCGAAAGTTTTAATGTAAAGTCACTAGTACTAACATATTAACAATTTCTAATTATGTAATGATACATGTTTTAAATAAAGAAACGAGAATTTCCAATTCAAATACAACTACTGGCATAGACGTATGAAGAATAGTGCCTCATCGCCTCATGGCTTCTCGGCTTTCGAACGCAAATGCGATCGCACAACCGCAGAAAAGAGTTGCGGATTGCCTAAGAGAAATTTCCCCTACTTCCACCTTTCCAGCCTTCCACCTTCCACCACTTTATTCGTATTCTCTAAAGCATTAAGTGCATCGTTCCCTCGTTGATTACTATACTATAGACCAACAGATAAGATCAGAGAACGATCAAAATCTTGACCAGCCGCCACAGTTATCAGAAATAAGGATTCCAATTGGTAATAATCCAGAATATTTCAGTCATATTTGATCATAGTACAGAATTTTGTTGATATTTGAATAGTGCCATGTAATTTTTTTTTAAAAACCATCCGCAACTTAGATTAATAGATAGAGATTACAAAGCTATTCATGACATTTGCGCAGCGTTGGGTTAGGCGGATTCAATATCGGAACTTTTTTCCCTAGATCGTATATATAGCTATATGATCTAGGGAGAATGTTCCGTCGAGCAGACAGCACAGCAGTGAAGGGGCATTGCCAAAGACACGCGGAAATTCAAAATTGTAATATTAATAACACAAGTGCCTATCACCCAATGACTTGGGGCGCTAACTGGCCACTCTGTGAAATAATAAAATATTAATTAA